AGGCTACGATAAACGGTCGCGAACGTTTCGCCAACATGCGAACGTGACTTACCGCCATCAACCACTACAAGAAAAACTTCTCATGTTTATGGATATTCTGATATTCTCTACTTCCGTCGTGCTTCTCGGATTCCACTACACGCTGCGCGATTATGAGCCACCTACTCGTGCTACATAAGACTTCAGCGGTGTGGATCCTGAAGCCAAGGGAGTCATTTTCTCTGTACCTTCATTAATATCTTATTTATTTTTCTTTGATTTACACACCGACTTCAAAGACCCCGAGTGCTTCTTCAAAATTGGGCGCCATATTGTTACGGAACTGCTTGTTACTCAGTGGGCCTCGCCGGCTGGCTCATCGTTTTCTCTGAGTGTAGTCCCATCCCTGGCCCGCAGTCCGTACAATCGATAACAACAAAGCTACAACGTCTGTAGCAAAACATACCGAAACAACACTATTCAAAATGAACCACATAATCGATAACAGCAAACAATCAGAACTTTTAACAAATGAACAACATAAACAGCTGCGACAAATAAATGAAAACAAGCAATGGTGAGACTCTAATATAAATTAACAAAAAACACTATTTATCCACTTTACTTTTCCAAATTGGGTCCCGGTTCCGGACCCAGCGTACCCGCTCTACCATGGAAAGATCACCTTCACTCGTCTCCCTCGTGTTGGCCACTTGTCGGCCTATGTCAGCCCGTGTCGGCTGTAATGCCCCCTCTCCCCATCATGTGAGACTTAGCCGGACATTTCTCTCTTCAATATGTGCAGCATCGAGAGGTTGCTTAGTTGGTTGCGTGCGATATTATCGGCCACGCCGATATCTTTTTGTCATATGGTCATTGTATGGGGGGTGAAGCTGGGCCCACAGCGGACCCCAATTTTTAGAAGGGTGGCAACGCCAGGCTTGCGAACCACTGCACCAAAAGCGACGATTGCCATTGGCCGCCCAATTCGCCCTTAAAGAGACTATGAGGAGAGTGGATCGCATGCCCTTGGATGTGCCCTTGGCCTTCATTTGGGCCGTTGACCCAAGTAAAGCCGGCGCGTAATAACAAAAAAAAACTTAACAAACAAATAAAGTTTTTGGTTTTGTTTTTTTTTGCAATGTAATAAATTTATGTAAATTAAACCGTTCAAGTCACCAAATATATAAAATTAAAAGGGACTTAAAACTTAAGTGCGACGAGAGACGAACCAATAAAAAATCAAAATTAACGGCTCCAACAACGAAGAAGCGGCCACAGGCGAGACCACGCCCACATCCTCCGAGTGAGTCTGTTCCATTTTGCCCCTCTTCGTTCGAGTCCTTGGCAGAGTCAGACGAAGACTCCTGATTGTACTCCCTGAAAAAGAGCAGATTTTTTTTTGTCGTTAAATTTAGTTTTTTTTTGTTTATAAATTATATCTATACATACATAGGCACTTACGCCGAGCTTCACTTTAGAGTGCGAACGGTGAAGGAAAACTGCAAAGGTGATGCATCTGCACCTGTAAAATATAAAAGTGTAAAATTAACACTTGCGAGCACTGAGGGAAAACTCCAAAGGTGATGCATCTGCGCCTGTAAAATATAAAAGTTTAAAATTAACACTTGCGCGAACTATGCTCACATACTTACCAAATTTGAATTACCCACTTATATCGCCCTTACCACCCCCCAGAGAGCTCTTTAGGTAGGGTAAGGTAGAATTAAGCGATTTAATACAGATATATATCACCTACCTGTTGCACGACTGATTATCGTGACATACCCAGTTCTAAGTATTTGTGTGGGTACATTGTTCCTAAATCGGCGCAACGATTGCCTCTAAATTGCCTCCTTGCTTGTCTCTTTTCGCGGCGACTAGCAATATCTTTGCAGTATTTCGTCGCCTGTTCCATTTAGTGCTGTTAAAATAAAAAAAAAATGAATTCTATAAGATAAGAAAAAAATTTAGAAATTAATACACATTGTCCATAATCATAAGTATATGCAACATTAATACGCACCTGGAGAAGAAATGTTCACGTGCATGAAAGCTAAATTATCTGAATGGAGACACCTTAGAAATTAGAAAGAGATAAGAAGCATTAATTGTTAATAATCATAAGGAATGCAACCATTTATACGCACATATTGAAGAGAGAAATGTCAGGCTAAGTGTTACTTGATGGGGAGGGGGGGCATAACAGCCGACACAGGCTGATGTAGGCCGACAGGTGGCCAAAAAGAGGGAGACGAGTGCAGGTGATCGTCTCATGGTAGGGCGGGTACGCTGGGTCCGAAACCGGGGCCCGATCTGGAAGAGTAAGGTGGATAAATAGAGTTTTTTTGTTAATTTATATTGAGCGTCTCACCATTGTTGTTTACATTTTCATTGTTGTTACAGCTGTTTACTTTGTTCATGAGTTAGCAGTTCCGAATATTTGTTATCGATTATGTGGTTCATTTTGAATAGTGTTGTGTGAGTCTGTTTT